AAAAAAAAAAAAAAAAGAAAGAAAGAAAGAAAAGAAAATTGCAGTTCTTTTTCTTCAAGTGTACCAGAGAAGTCTGCTTTCAGTTATAATGTGGAACATAATGGTTAAAAAGCAATATTCAAAATTGGTTTGTGAGAGCTGGTTCTAGTGACAGCTTTAATCTCTAAATTGCAGATAATACCTTCCATTGAACACACTATGAAAAAGCATCCAAAAATAACAATTCAACATTAACTATGAGCCTGACATAACTTCTGTTGATTAAATCACTTGTTTCAATCCAGAAAACAAAACAACTAGAATGCTTCTGTGATAAGAACTATTAGTCAGAAGATTCTTAAAGCATAGAGTGAATTTTAAATATTTTTACTGATCTAAGTCCTGTTAACTCCAGTGGTAGATTAATGCAGAAACACCTATATATGTGGGCCTAAACATCAGAGCAGATCATACAACATGGACTGTGTAAAGAAAACATGCCAACCTTGATGCCAAGTTGGCACTATGAGCATCCTCTGTTGAATTCATGTCTTCCAAGCAGGATTTTCTACGACTCAGCCACAGGCTGAGCTGAGGAATGCCATCAGATAGCTCTGGTTGCAGTACTCTGTGGGCATGAATAGATCCCTCACTCCTGGACTTTGGGATCTACAAGAAAAAAGAGGGGTGGGGGAAAGCAAGATAAATGTTAATGTCTTTCAAATTAAGTTTTTGAAAAAGGACAATTTATTCCAATGTTGCAATAATCCAATTGATAACACCCCAGAAAAATATCAAGCTTAAAATGAAATTTAAAATACATATAAAAATTATATAGCATAGGGCACAGGGAAGGGGAGATACAAATATTTCCAAGGAGAACATTCAAACCTTCTATACCCCATGCCCTACTCAGACGGTTTCTATTCTGAGTGAAATCTTCCCCAGGCCCACCCCTCCTTAGAATAATCATTCTATGTAGTGAGAAATGGTGGGAGTATGTCAGACTGGCAACTTTGGTTGAAGGAAATAAAAAATAGTTGGAAAGAGACAGGAAGAAAAAGAGCTAAGAACCACTAGAATACAGAATGCCAATGTCTGAAAGGTATTCAGAAATATTTACTACCAATAAACAAAACATGAATCTGCTGATTTGTAGGGCAAAATAAGATTTGATAAATTTTTGTTTAAGTAATGAATAGGAAAAATACAAGCTTTTAGTTTTCTTTTATCTCTGAATGCATGGGCAACACATGTCCCCAGTGAATCCCGGGGTACTGACTTCTCAGACCATATCTAAAGTTATGCTCCCTGTAGCCCTCAAAATACCCTCATGTTCTCTTATCTTAGATCAGAATAAATTTGAATACAATCAATATTCTTTTCCTTTAAAATGTAAAAAACATTATGCCAGAATTGTAGGAAAAATGTGAAACCTCGGATCAATTGTATTTCATGTACTTGAAGCTTTTTCTTGTCTCTAGGATTTTTCCCATGCTTGTCCTTATGTCTGGAACGTCATGTGCTCATCATTGGCCCACTCAACTGCCTAAACCCAAACCAATCCTAACTTCCTTTGAGGCTGAGATAACTCCAGTGGACTTCAGGTCTCTCTCTCACCCAGGCTGGAGTACTGCAGTGGCATGATCTTGGCTCACTGCAACCTCCACCTCCTGGGTTCAAGTGATTCTCCTTCCTCAACCTCCTGAGTGGGTGGGATTATAGGCATGCACCACCAAGCCTGGTGGTGTATTTTTTTTTTTTTTTAATTTTTAATAGAGATGGGGTTTCACCATGTTGGCCTGGCTGGTCTAACTTGTGACCTCAAGTCTTCTGCCCACCTCGGCCTCCCAAAGTGCTGAGACTACGGGCTTGACCCATAGCACCTGGCCTTAACTTCAGGTCTTAATGACCTTTCCCAACTCTGAATTTCCATAACACCCTACCACATAGTCTACCCTTGATTACACATTGCCTGATACCTTAATCTGAGTTTTTGCATGTTTCTAGGTCAGATGGCCTCCGTGGGTTCTCAGCAGATAGAGATTATAGTCTCCTCCTATTATTATGTATCCCTTTCTCTCTCCTTCTTCTTATTATTAACATTTTTACCATAAAGTCTAGCAAAGTTTTGAGTCCATTAAGAAATATTTATTGTGAAACAATCCACTTGTCAACCACAAGGTATTCTTAAGACATTAACTATCCTGGAGGTTAGTAAAACAGATAATTTTTAAAAGCAATGTGTGATTATGAATATAAATATTGAAGAAATTCATGTCTCTATGAAGATTACATTAAAATTATGTATAAATAATATATACAATTATGACTCATCAATTAAAATAGCATTAATTTACAAAACCAAAAAAACCCACATGCAAACAAAATACATGAGTATAATTTGTCAAAAAGGTAAACTTGGGACAGAGCAAAGTGAACACTCAATAAAACCTAGTTTTTATTATTACTGTCATGTAAAATTTGCCCAAATCTGATGACTGCCAATTAATTTTTCATGACATTTCTTTGTAGAGCATTCTTAAGCAAGGATAAAATCAGGAAAGCAAGGACAATTTTTGTTTAAATTATAAACTTACAAAAACACTTTTGTAGTCCATATTTGCCAAGGTTATCTTTTTATTGACAAAAATTATATATATTCATCCTGTACAACATGTTGTTCTAAAATATGCATGCACTATGGAACAGCTAAACAAATAATTAAAACATGCATTACCTCACATACTTTTTTGTGGTGAGAAAACTTAAAATCTACTCTCTTAGCAATTTTCAAGAATACAAAGAATACTTTGTAAAAAATATTAATAGCAAGAACATGAAGGTATAAATATACGCTATTATATATTTCATTAAGGAGCTCTTTTTGCATGTGATTATTTTTCATAAGAGTAGACATGAAAAATCAATTAAAAACACTGAAAATGCAGTAAGATTTCAAACTAATTAGCCAAAAATCTCACATTTAGACTTAGTTCCTTGCCCATATTAAAGCAAGCACAAGGTTGGTTGTTCGGAAACATTTCATAGTGTTAAAATAAGGAGACTGTTATGGTTAATATTGTGTCAACTTTATTGAAGGAAGAAAAGTATTGTGCCTGGGTGTGTCTATTAGGGTGTTGCCAAAAGAGATTAAAATCTGAGTTAGTGGACTGGGAGAAGCAGACCCACCCTCAGTCTGGGTTGGCACCATCCAAGCTGCCAGGGCAGCTAGGATAAAAGCAGGCAAAGGAACATGGAAGGACTAGACTGGCTGAGTTTTCTGGCCTCCATCTTTCTCCCATGCTAGATGCTTCCTGACCTCAAACATCAGACTCCAAGTTCTTAGCTCTTGGAGTTTTAGAATTACACCAGTGGTTTGCCAAGGGGCTCTTGGGCCTTTGGCCACAGACTGCACTGTCAGCGTCCCTACTTTTGAGGTTTTGGGACTTGGACTGGCTTCCTTGCTCCTCAGCTTGCAGACAGTCTATTGTGGGATCACCTTGTGATCATTTGAGTCAATTCTCCTAACAAACTCCTCTTCATATACACATCTGTCCTATTAGTTCTGTCCCTCTAGTGAACCCTAAAACAGAGACGTTTTAGGTTCAGTGATAATTTTGAGGCTCTGAATTCCATTTAGCCATTTATGTAAAGGTGAAATATTCTAGGGTAAAAAGGTAATATGCAGCTTATTCCATTCTGTCAGGTTACATTCAAATAGCCTTTATAATGAAAATCACCTAGAAGTCAGATACCAGAAACGACATCAGCTATATTTTGTCTAAGTGTATTTTTGTGATGATCTAAGCTCTAAAAAAATAAATAAATAAACATGACTGTCATTAACCATGAACTTTAAAATATAAACTCATTACTTATATATTAAAGTAATGTAAATATCTGAGCTTGTGTATAGAATGCGAAAATACCACAGGCAGTTGATGAGAGAATGGAATTTTTAGGAAAAATGTAGCTCTGTAACTCAGACTTCTAGAACTATAAAAGATACATGCACATTTTGAAGGCAATGAAAGTTTTCAAAGATGACTAATGCTATCTTCTTGAAGATGTAGCTTAGAGACTACATTTCCACTACAGAAATGACTATAGGAAAAATGAAAATAATGTGATATAATTTTAAAACCTGCTGTTTCACTGATGGTAATTAACTTTAGTTCGAATGTATTAACTTTGAGGAAAAGGAAAAGACCATTTTCTTCCCCTCAGGTGGAAGTGGGCTTCTCAGAAACACATGATTAAAGCAAAAACAAATTTATACTACTCTTGGCCTTTAAATGTAGGTAGAGAGGATAGTTTTATTTTGATGCTTTGGGTACCTATTTCAGATCTATATATTTTAGTATTGGTGTACACTAACTTGGAGGTAGTACTCATAGTTCCTTTCCATCACTGAATTATCTGAAAAGGAATATGGTACCAGTTAGCCAAGGCCAAGGAAACAGGAGGGCATGCTATTACAGTCATTACAATGTGGTGTTTAAAGCAGCCATTACAATGTGGTGGGTCTTCTCGTGCACAGCTGATTTTGTCTGGACACATTTTTGGTTGTCATGATGGGGATGACGGTGTACACTAGTGGAATCTAGTGGGCCCAGACCAGGCATGTGACTAATCCTTCCATGCACAGGACAGCCTGCCACACACACACAAAGAGCTATCTGGTTCAACATGTCAGTAGTCCTAAAGTTGAGAAACCCTGTTTTAGAGGGAACAGTAGGAAAAAAATCTGTATTAAGGCAACATCTCTCTTTACACACTTTTCTTTTGTTTCTGTCTTCTTTTTATGCCACTCGTACTTTAAGACATAATAAAACAAAACCAGCTGTAAGTTTTGCACAAGTGGGCTGAGGAGGCCATTTAGACCCACCTTGTCTTGGCAAGAGTTGCTAGTGGCTCCATGAGACTCAAGCAAGCCCTGATGGGCAGGGACTCCAAATCATGCCAACAGCTTTACTGTAATAAATGGAGTGAATGTGCTGGAGAGACCCACCTGCAGCCTCTCTCATAACATGTGGCTGAAGTAGGAAAATGGCCATGGATTGGGGATACAGACTGGGGAGGCCAGTTTTCTCTTTCCACTGTAGTTATAATTGATAGCCACTAGCTCACACCACACTTTCTTTCTTTTAGTCATTTCATTTATTTGGTCATTTAGGTACTTTTGTACTTGAAGGCAAAAACTATAAAATACCCCAGACCACCTATAATAAATACTTTGCTCATAAGAATTGTGCCATTGGTTATTTGAGATAAAGATCTATGTGTATGTTGTGTGATTTATGTGTACAACTAAAACACAAACAATTCCAGGAATCTCAAAAAAAGCACATTCCATGCATGTATTTGCAGGTGTGCAGTAGCTCTAGTTGTGGCATTTTTTAAGGAACATTAGTGTTTAAGATGCCATGAGAATAAAAACAAAGTAATATTCTTTGAGACAGTAAAATTAGAAAACATTCTCTTAAACCCTGGTGCTGTTGCTGTTATAGTTAATAATTACCGAGCACTTATTCTGGTTCCAAGAGGTTTACATAAACCAGCCCATTTAATTCTCACAATCAACCAAGGAGTCAGGAGCTGTAATTATTATCATTTGAAAAATGAGGAAACTGAGGCACAAAAAATTTGATTTGTTCCAATGAGTA